ATGTTCAATGTCACACAGCCATCCTTGTCCCTGCCACTACTAAGATTTTGTTATAGGGTCAAGCTCGTGTGTCTGATTTGCTCTTCCCTTGAGTTGGAATTGTTTCCAGTTGGTTCCTCATCTCCCATGGGGATGGATTAGGCGTGGCCTATGCTACCACTCTTGCAGATATGGCAAAATTCCTGCTCGGGCTAAAGCTGAGATGCCTCCTCTGCTGCCCTATTATCATGGGTACTAACAGGAGCCCTGGGTATTTCTTTTCGCTGAGATATTTTAAATAGGGTAGACTTTCTCATCTTTGACCTATCCATACACCCACCGCCCACCCACTCATTTGTGTGTCCATCCATCCATCCATCCATCCATCCATCCATGCATTCATCGTCCGTCCATCTGTCCATCTGTCCATCTGTCTGTCCATTGTGCATCCATTCCATTTGACTAATCCATGTTGTTCAGGGCTCTTTGCAAAGTGGCTGATGGAAGCACAGTTTTGCCTGGGTTGGGGAACATGGGCCAAGTGATTTTCTCTAAAGTCTTCTAGGGATTTATTAATCTAGGTGTCTTATTGGGTTGTGTGCAGGTAGGAATGTTTGGCAGCCGTGACGATCTGCCAGAGAATCCCAGGCAGCCTCACAAAGGCTGAGATGATTCTGATGCTCCCTGTTGATTTCCCTTTTTCCTTGTTTTTGTTTAGGCCATAGAACAAGCCATTTTCAACAAAAGGACTTGCAAATTCCTGCCTTAGGGCTCCTTCTGCACAGGACAGACCTTTCATCACCAACCCAACTTATAATCTTGGGAAGGTTCTCAGCTCATTTTCAAGAAGAAAAAAAATGCACACAAAACAGCCACATCATGAAGTTGCTCCACATAATGAGGCCTGCTCTGTTGACCTATCATTACCCTGGGCTCCAGGCAGGCCTGGGTTGCCCTGCCAGCCTCCCACCTTACCCCTGGCCAGTCAAGGTTGAGGTCAGCAGCTGGGCAGCCCAGAGGCCACCATAGTGGCTGTGAGGAGAAGGCTGCTTTTCAGGGCCTGGCCTTGCCTAGAGCTACTTGACTGAACACAGCTAAGGAGGAGGAGAAGAGTCCTCTGAGGCCTGCCAGCTCAGCTACCCCTGGGACATTCCAAATCCAGGCTTTTGCTCGAACTACACTTACTCTCCCTTTCTGTTGGGGCTCCTTGGCTCCTCTTGGCTCATGTGGGTCTTGCCAGCTTTTCAGAGCCAGAACTCATTCTGCCTCCCAGGCCCATGGTGCCTCCCCATCCCACAGCTATTTGTTCAGCAAAAATTTATTAACCACTTTTTTGGGGGCAGGCCAAAGACAAACAAGACTTGATCCCTGCTCTTGCTCCTCCCACAACAGGGAAGGCAGATATAGAAAGAACGATGAGACAGTGTTCTGAGCACCTAGGGCCATTCTTACTGCCTCAGGACCACAGAAGCTGGTATCAAACGCTGTTATTTCACCACACTCTTAGGGTGAGGCGTTCTGTTTCCCCAGCTGATTGAAAGCACCTGGAGGGAAGCGTCTTCAATGTCTTCTCTCATTTTCTGAGTGCCTTGCATGGTGGTGACCCAATTAATTAAATAGCTGTCCAGCAGTGAGGAACTGTTTCCTCCAATCCAAATTCTACTTGGATTTCTTGGTCTTTGTTTCAATCTAGGAGCATTAGGTTATGAGAAAAACAACAAACCTAACTAACCTGCTGTATTTGTTAGGCTGTTGTGCAAATTGGTGGGGTCTCTGCTCTATACCATCACCCGGTGTCTTAGTCAGCTTGGGCTGCTATAACAAATTACTGTGGGTGACTGGGTGGATTAAACTACAAGCATTTATTTCTCACAGTTCTAGAGACTGGGAAGTCTGAGATCAAGGTACCAGCAGGTCCAGTGTCTGGTAGGAGCTGGCTTCTTGGTTTACAGACAGCAATCTTCCCATTATATCCTCACATGGTGGAGAGTGGGACGGAGCTCTTGTGTCTCTTCTTATCAATGCACCAGTCCCGTTAATGAGGCCTTCACCTCATGATTTAATCACCCACCAAAGTCCCTACCTCCTAATACTGTCACAGCAGCCTTTAGGGTTTAATACAGGAATTTTGGGGGAACACAAATATTCAGTTCGTAACACCCAGGATCCCAGGTTCACTGAAGCTTTGCTATCTTAGATAGAGCTACACCATCTAAAACACATGGTTTTCTCAGTCACTCCGATTCTGTGAAAGAGAGCTGGAGGCTTGCCTACTGGCTCTTAAAGGCTTTAGCCCACTATTGACACATCACTTCTGCTCACAGCTCAGTGGCCAGAACCAGTCTCACCGCCCTCACCTAATTGCAAGGCCCCAGAGAAATGTGGGAGATGTTTGAGCAGTAAATGACTCTGCCATGGTTCCCAAGCTAGCTTAAGTGAAAAGGGGGTGCTGGGAGGACACCAAGGCATCTTACGGGTCTCTATCTAGGAAGGGGGTCCATCCAAGCCCCCAAAGGAACCGCGACCAGACATTGGAAAGTTAGGACCCACAGCCACATTCTTAGAGTTCCAGGGTGCCATATTTACTTCTCTCTCCTTCAGTCAGCAAGTTGGCTTTTTCTTTTTTCTTTTTGGGTAGACTGGTTTTCTTGGCTTTCCAAATACAATGGGAATAAGAACAGTCCCTGTCCAAAGGAGTCGTGAGGATATAATGAGTTTATCCATGTAAAGTGTTTAGGAAGTGCCTGGTGCATGGGAAGTGCTAGATAAGAGTTAGCTATTGCTATTATTTTATGTAATAGTAATAATATTTTTAATTATTATCCTTGTATATGCCATAACATGGCTCCCTAGGCTTAGCCTCTGAGACTCCCCTCAGAAGGAACGGACTAAAGGGACCAGTTCTTTAGGGAGCTGAGTGCCTAGCTGAGTCAGGGTTCTCCCTGGGTTTGGGGAGAGGGAACAGGCCAGGAAAACATCCCAGAGGGACTCTGTTATAGTCTTTATCTTTAAGGCAGTTCCAGTGCTAACAGCCTCCTCAAGAGAAACCAGTTGCAGAGCAAACTACTCGGAGCCACTCCTAAGCAAGGCCGTTTCGCCTCATCCAAACACAGGCCATGGCAGAGTCTGAGAAACACAGTTTTCACCAGGAAACAAATCAAGATCACAACCATGTGTGCAAATCAGGCGGCAAGCACAGGCTGTGCATGGTCCTGGCAGAACAGAGTTCCAGGAGAGGAGTGGCCTCCATGATCTGCCGCTGCGCCCCCACTGCTTTACCTGGGGCTTTTCTTTCATTTGGTTCCTGCTTCATTCATCCAAAGAGGCTGCTCTGGGCTCTGCATCTGCTCTGAGGGGTTTGACCAGGATGACCTGGTTTCCAAACAAAATTGGTCAGAGAGACCCTCATCTCTTAGGGGCCCACTTCCCTCTGAGGGCTTAAAACCAAATGCTCCTGCCTTTGGAGCAAGTGACCACCTCCCCATGAGAACATGCCTCTCACAAAGGAGCTCCCTCATCCTCTCCAGAGGAGAAGTGGAAACGAGAAATGCCTGGTGCAGAGCCAGGATTGCTACGTCATGGATGTGAAATGCTCAGGATGCCCCAAGGCCGCATGGTCTGGGAGTTCTGCGTTGTTGACTGCCCAGCTTGTCATCTGCTACTCAACAGGAGGACAAGTGAGGCTTACAGAAAGATGCTCCTCAGACAGAGCAGCACCACAAGCTCCCTGAATCAAGATGCGTGGGAGACCATCCCAATAAACACCTTTCAGATGAAACGAAACCCCGAACGAAAACCCCAAATCAAACTCTAAACGCCTCTCGAGCCGGATAGCACTTCCGGTTTATGAGGCATTTTCACTATTTTATTTCAATCCTCATATTAACCCTAAGAGATGAGATTCTTACCCTCATCTTAGAGGTGAGGAACCTGATGCTCAGAGAGACCAGAAAACCTACCCCAAGTCATGGGGCTCACAGGCCAGGCAGACCCAGGACTCCGCACTGATCCTGCGGTCTCTGAAGCCTGCACCAAGTAGACTTGAGTTCGGGTTTCTCAGGTATTCGTGACCTGGCGGGATGGAATTGACTACGCAAACTAGGATGCGTCTTCTTATCACAAACGTCAACTTCTCTCTTCCTTCTGTGCTCATCCTTTGGTTTGTCTGACATAAAGAATATTTTCACGGTGCCAGCCATGCGACCTCTATTTACAGAAGACCCAGATGGGACAATCTAGTTGAATGCTGTCCAAATGACAGGACAAATTAGATTATCAAGGGGAAGGCCTGATATGGTTTTAAGGGGGAAATTGTGTCATGAATCTTTTTTTATAAGCACTTTGTGGGTGGGAGTAATGAAATCGGGAGGGAGGTAATTTGTCAAGCAAGGATCAGAAAACACAAAACTGGTTCTCCTTAGAAGAGGAAAAAAGAGAAACATCTTTTTTGTTTGTTTGTTTGAGACGGGGTATCATTCTGTCACCCAGGCTGGAGTGCAGTGGTGTGATCATGGCTTACTGCGGCCTCAACCTCCCAGGCTCAAGTGATCTTCCCGCCTCAGCCTCCCGAGGAGCTGGGACCACAGGCATGTGCCAGCATGCCCAGCTAATTTTTAAAATATTTTTGTAGAGATGGGATCTCCCAGTGTTGCTTAGGCTGGTCTTGAACTCCTGGGCTCAAGTGTTCCTCCCGCCTCAGCCTCCCAAATTGTTGGGATTACAGGCATGAGCCACTGTACCCGAAGAGAACCATCTTAAAGAGAAAAAGGAGCTGTTTTTATTTTTTGTTTTTAGAAGGCCACGCTCATTTTTTCAGAGGCACTTGATCTCTTTGGTGCTTTTAGGATTTTTAAAAACTGTTACACAACAGCTTCTTCCTAAAGGCTGAATCACAGGCACTTTAGAAAACTTCTTAGTAGGGGAGGCTCCACTGAAATGTACTCGATACTTACACTCAACAGGAGGGATATATTTCGATTTTGAGTTTGACAGGCTCACACTGATCTCATTTAAGTCCTTACCCGGCTGGAGCTCAGGAATTCCAACGCTCTTTCCACAGGAACTTCCTCACGTCTTGTGCCGAACAGTGGGGCATGACCCAGGCCCTGCTTCTGCAAGGAAAGAGAAGTGGCTCCTGAGAAGTGTAGTGGCCTCTTGGTGGTATAAATTGTTTCCCTAAAGGCCCACAGTAAAGGCAAGAGTTCTCTTGCAAACCGAATTAGAAATTTAAAAAAAAAATCTGATTTGTTCACATTATCAAATAATGACCCAGAGGCTGTGGAGTAGATGTCCAATTTCAAAGGCCTTGCTTTTCCTCTGAGCCAGAGGCCTTTCATCACAGCTAGGAAATTACCTCCCTAACATGCATGCTGCGCCTGCCTCTGTAATCCAGAGGTCAGAAAGGCAGAGCACGTCCATAAGATGGAGGCAAAACCACAAATGGAAAACCGGGTGTCTCTGCAGAAACAAGACCAAGGAGCACCAAGGCACTGCCATTCAAACCCAACACAGCCTTCAGTGAGTGCTCTCAGGAGGCCTGACAGCAGAATATATGCCCCAGGCAAGAATGTCACCCGAGGTGCCCATGTCTCCTGCCCTCATGTTGTGTCCCAGGTCTGGGTCCTCTGCTTGGGTAATGCTCCAAGCTGCAAATGCCCCCAGCGAATTCTACCTCCTCAACCCATCACAGGTCCTCTGTCTAAGGACCTTCCTACCAGTGGGGGTTAGGAGGAAAGCATGGGAATGAAAGAATTCAAACCAAGGGGTGCATGATGGTAGCCTCTCGGGGATACTTGTAGTTGAAAAGAGAAGCCCCTTTTGTAGGGAAACACCAGTGTACAGATAGACTTCAGATGCTGTGGGGCACGGCGCCAGGCCAGCTGTGTGGAGCTGCATTCCAGCCAAGTGACTGAATATCTGCTTTCATGCGGTTTTGTGGAGCTGCTACAATCTCCCACCTCTGCAGAGTATACCCGTTTCTTCCAGTCGCCACGAAAGGTCATGCAAAAAGGGATTCTTCAGTTCTGGCGCTCCATATTTAATATCAAATCTTTGTACTTGAGCCTGCAATGTACGGACATGCATATTCTATCAGCCTTGAAAATGGCTGCTCAAGCACTGAAGCCCTGAAGGAAACTTTTCAGTTAAATATTCTCTCTTTGCCAACTGCCAAATAGACAATTTTATTATTCAACCCATGAATCCATTAACTAAACCCTGGCCTTCCCCAGTAGCCCCTGTCATCTGTTCTTTTTTTGTGTGTGACACCCTGGATCTGAGCATCCGCCTTGTTGCAGAGGCCCTTGGATTCCCCAGCAGCCCCAGGCTCTGTAGGAGGCACCCCTAGGAGGTAAGGCCAAGGCCAAGTCAATCAGGCTGCTTCCCCAGCTTTGCTATTTCATTTCTGTTGGGGCTGCGAGTGTTCCTTTCTAGGCCATTTTTAGAACTGAATTTCATATGGGCCATAACATCTTTTGTAAAAGGAAATGGATCAACTAGCTTTGTCGAGACTCACTCTGTTTCTGGAGTCCCGATGATGAAAGACTTAGTTAGCGCTGGAATAAAGGAACGGTCAGTCTCATGAAATTAGCAGCAGTATTTATTAATATAAACACATTGCACTTGAAAAATCCAACTTTAATGTCCTCTCTGAGTAAATATACTTATTTTTCTTCAAGTTTCAATCAGGGAGCCTTCATGTACAGCCATGATGTCATGAGACCAATTACACAAAATAATCTTGACAGGCTCATTATTTTCTTGCCATATTCTGGCCTGCATAAGGAGCAAACTTGCTTTAGGATGTTCAGAGAGATTGTTCTCTTCCATTTCCAGGTCAAACCCCAGCAACCATGACCTAATGCTTCAGTTAATACATTCTTATATTCTGAAACGCCTGTGTTCACACCCACTATCTTTGGAGTGTGAATTTATTCACACACGCTGATTGTTCCTTCAGGGAAGCAGCCAGCAGCCCCAAAGTACTTCCACTGAAGCCTTTGAAAAAGAGGGAAGACTCCAAGTGTCTGGCACCTGTGGAAGAGGGGAATCTTGAGAAGTAGCTGACATTCCTTTGGTGAGTCTCCTTGGTGTCTCCTTGGTGAGATTTCTTACAGCAGAACATGACGTTCTTCCCAACCCTGGGATCCAAACCACTTTAAAAGAGTGTTATACTTTGCTCTGAGTGGCCAAATACCACAAGTACCACTTGATTTTAAAATTATGTAGCCTTGGTATTCCAAAGCCAACATGCACCACCACGCAAGAACAGATGTGGTCTCTGAAGGCAAAAGCCCCAGGCAGTGCTTAGCTCTCAAAAAAGAGTTGTCATGTCATTCTCAACTTGAGATGTTTGCTTGGCAAGCATTTTTTACCCTCTGGAGGAAATTTTGTTTACAGGATTTCACACACACACACACACACACACTCTCACACACACACACACACTCATTGTTCAGCTGCAGAACAAAGGTCAGCTCTTGGCACACAGTAGTTTTCCAATTCCTGGTCCTTTTTGATTCTCAATGTGCCCATCAGCAGACATGTAATTTTATCTTAAGGCAGCCAAGTGCAAAGCATGAGACAATAGGGAGAAATCTTGTAAATAACTATCAAACAGAAAGAATCTGTTCAACCGATGAGGGAAAGCCTCCTTTGTTCAGTTTTAATGATGTTTATATAACTTTCAGTATGCATATTCAATCAGTAACATTATTTTAAGGCAGTTGATACAGGTGCCAAAATCCTCAGTATGCTGGGAGATAGATTATCTTTTGCATGTGTGGGGTTTTGGAGACAAAAGTTGCACTGAAGTGTGTGGCTCTTGTAAATTATATGAGGAACCAAGTCAATTTCCTGTTTGAGATAATGGAGCAGTGCATTTTCATGTCCAACCCCTTTAAATCATAGGTTTAATTCAATTGAGACCCAGAAGTGATTAGCCCAAGTTTACACAGGTACTTACTAGCCGAGCAGGTCTAGAACTTCCTTTCCACAGACAAATTCTACCTAGAGTTTGCAATTACTCCCATGATAAGCTGGAACATTGGAATTCCTTTCCATTACCTGTAGTACTTTTGCCATAGCAAGTCTTAGAACAAAAGTAAAGAAAAGGCAATAGGTTTTCATGGCTGGGTGCAGGGGCTCATACTTGTAATCCCAGCACTTTGGGAGGCCGAGGTGGGAGGATTGCTTGAGGCTAGGAGTTTGAGACCAGCCTCGGCAACATAGTGAAACCCCGTCCCTACCAAAAAAAAAAAGTTAGCTGGGCATGGTGGCACGCACCAGTAGTTCCACCTACTCAGGTGGTTAAGGCAGGAAGATCTCTTGACCCCAGGAGGTTGAGGCTTCAGTGAGCTATGATTGTGCCACTGCATTCCAGCCTGAGTGACAGAGCAAGGTCCTATCTCAAAAAAAAAAAAGAAAAAAAAAAAAAAAGAAGAAGAAAAAAAGCAAAAAGAACCTTATGATATAATCCTGACCAGAAATTGGACTTAAGTATTTTTAAAAGCCATTTATGTCACTGGTTGTAAAAAAAATGATAAAAGTGGACATTTTATTTCTTTATAAGATTAAAAAGCTATGTACAATATATTAAATGTAAGTCAACATTTGATTATTCCTAAGATGTAATTCCAGAAACAAGTTGTCCAGGCAGGAAAGGCTGGCTTAGAATTTGTGGAATATCTCTTATAATTGTGATCATTGGAAGCAAATCGAAATGCAACAAATAAGCCACTATTCCTGTTGCTCCCCTTGTCTGTTTCTCCCAGCTTTATTCACTTAGAAATTTAATTGTGCCTGATCTGACAGGCACAGGAAGGAGCCAGGTGGAGGGAGGGTGGAAGCCTCCAGGGTTGGTCTTTCAGAAACAATGACAATGCTGTCTACTGAAAACCACTTCCAAACGGCTTTCAAAGCCCAAGAGTTTGTTTAGAGAAAATCTTGCCCGCATTGATGGATTTCTCCTCCTCTGACAGTTCACAGGAAAGAGTGCAGTATAAAGAAATAAGTGGTTCATTCCAAACATCTGATGGGTTCCCTTCAAGTACTCCCCCTCTGATCCACTTCTTATGGCTGTGCTGAGCCTCCCCATCTGTGATGAGGTCATTTTGTCGGGCACACAAAGGATTCTGGGGGGAATATGCATCATATACTGCAGCTATTCACAGCATTCATTCCTCCTGGCTGCTCACGGGAACAATGAACCTTCTCAGCATTACATGTGCTTACTAAGGAGACAGGGGTTAGATGCCTTTCAATGGAACCCCCTGAGGCACACAATGCATTTATTATAATGTCCTGGCCCTAAGAAGGGCCTGGGAACAGCTTGGAGTGGTCTATAATTAAGTACATTTAATAATAAATGCACACACTTCTTAGGTATTGCAAGAAGTGAAAATACGCTCTTCAGCTTCTTAGTCTCAATTCCCCTTCCCCATCATCCTTCCCCTTCAGAAATCAGAAAAGCCAGGAGTTCTGTGCTTTTTAAAAAAATAACAATTGCAGAGGATGTCTGGCTGGTTGAGAAAGGTAAATTAAATTACTTGAGAACATTCTTTCCATGTCAAAAAAAATGGCTTCTGCTTCCTCAGGTAGTTATGCATGGGGAGGATTTGTTAAAAGGTTGGCTGTTCCTTTAATCTCCCTTGGATTCCACTTCCAAAGGCTTTCAGGGGCAGTGACCCGCTAGCTAAGGGGCATTCCTTGGGGTTAAGCTGCCACTTGGAAGGGCACTTCCTCAGATCGCTGCTGTGCCTAGCAAGGAAGGAGCAGTTAGAAGTGTTCCCCTGACAGTGTCCCACGTCCTCGGTCCCCACACCTCTGAGTGCTCGAATATGGGCAGATAGACTTTCTCAGGAAAGTGAGAGGAAGAGAGCTCTGTGAATGTGGACAGGGTACAAGAAGAGAAGCCACACTGGAAGGAAGAGAAAAAGGCAGCAGGAGTGTGACACGTACATTTGTGAGATGCAGCAAGAGGCGTGGGACTATGAGGGATGCACAGGCATTAAGGGGCCTGGAGGCTGGAGGCCCAGCTTTGCCCCTGCCTGGCTGTGAGCGTGGCCTATTTTCTTGAACTTCTCTAAGCCTCAGTTTCTTTACTTGTAAAATGAGGATGTTAATGGTACCATGAATAGTTAGTGAAAGGTCTAGTAACAGGAATCTTGGGAAAGTGACCTAAGTTCTCTGAGCCTCACTTTCTTTATCTGTAAAATAAGGTAAAAAATACCTCTGTTACATGCATTGTTGTGAGGATGAATGAAATAATGTATGAAATCACTTAGCATATACCTGGTTCACAGTAAATAATCAGTAAATGCCAGCTGCTCTTGTGATGACTATTGGAATGCAATTACATTTTTAAAGAAACATACTGGATTGAAATTGTTCGCATCATTGACTGGTTCAATACATGGGGCAGGCGTCTGACTAGAGCAACAAGAAAACCATGCAAACTCACCAGGTAGTACTGCGCTGGAAAGCAGATAGCTTTTATTTATTTAATAGTTAATGACAGCGAGAGGGGGTGATGGAACAAATGGGTCTTCTCTTCTCTCCTATAATTAATTAAAATGAAATTATGGACCTGTACAATTTCAAAATATATGGATGGACAGGATAATATTATTAATAAGATTAGCTTTTCCAATTTAAGACCAATTTTTTCAATTCACTGATGCCCTAAAGTTTCTGATTTTGCTATCAATGGTGAAGAGGAGTTTTTACATTATACGGTTAAAGAGAGAATGACTTCTGCTGAAGCATTTGATTTTAAACAAAGTGATATTGAGCCTATTGATAAAACAAAGGTCAGTCCAAGAGTGTGTGGGAATAAGGTACATTTTGACAGAAAAAAGAATGAGGCTTTAAAAAAAGTTGTTTTCTTTCTTTTTGTTTGTTTGTTACAGCTAAAGAAATCTCCAATCACCATTCACTTCAAATATACCACCTTGATTTTACTTTTTTTACTTTGCTTTAGGTAATTTTTGTATGAATGTTCTCAATAAAGAATTTTCTTATAAACATTTATTATTTTGAGCATTACAGTTTGCACCTCAAAATGGAGTACTGTGAATTTTTTGAGAGATGCTAGAAGAACAGAAGAAACAGTAAACTTTTAAGGCAAGACACCTTTCTCCTCCCACTCTAGCAGCAAGAAGAAGAGGACATTTGCTCTTTATTATTTAAGAGCCTTTTAAAAGTCACATGGAAAGGCAAGCACTCCAAGGATTTTTTGATTCCTTTTGACTTTGGCCAAGAAAATGAAATTATTGAGAACAGCCAACCTTTCATAAAATATTGCTGTTGGAGGGACATTTTGGTGGGTTAAATATTATAAAATCATTGTTTTCTGGTCAATACAGAGCAGGGAGAAAATAAAAATAATTATTGGATAGGAGCATTTTGGTGGGTTTTGCATCTTATGTCAGAATGTGACACCAAAGGCGCGGCTTGATGGGGTCGCTTTTCTTATCTTAGGTGACCAGATGACGTGTTAAGGCAAAAACAAAGTATTTTTTCCCCCTCAGGTTTTTGGAAATAGACCAAACACATAGTTCTCAAAACCACCTGCCTTTAACGCCAACGTTTGATAAAGTGTGGGCCAACTAGCTTGAGCTTCTGAAGTCATCAGTGGAACATCTTTCCATGTTCAAGCCTCCCTCTGGCTGCTTTTCTGAATTCTCATTACTGAGCAAGTGGAGGAAGACCCAGGAATGCCGGAATCATCCAGTCACTGCATGGGTTCACTTCATCCGTATCTCTTTTTCAGAATACTCCTTACTCCTGTCTTATTTCAAATCCTGCTGTCATCAGGGTGATGAAGAGCACTTCTTAGACACTCGACAACATGGTGGAGGTGAAGATCTGTTGTAAAATCTGAGGGATGTCCTTGGTATCCATGGCAACGAAAGACCGACCAGCTGGTAAAGTTCTCTGCAGCCTGCCAGGATGGAAAGGGTAAGGAAGTTACCCCTGTAAATGGTGCTCCCTTCCACCTCCTGCCCTGGCAAACCACAGCCTCCTAATGGTTTCTTAGGACAGGAAGTTTTTACTTTCTCATATCTTGCTCTCTGCCTACCACTGAATTAGTTGTCATTAAGCAATGAAAGGCTTGGAAGAGCAACAAGGAAAGACACAGCGAAAGCAGGGAACTGAAAGGAAGGTCTTTTCAGTGAGAAAGTTGGCAAATTTGAAAAGCAAAAATTTTCTTCCTTTCTTTACTGCCATTTCTTGGTATTTCATATTCTCTTGGTAGAACAGAGCCCTAGGGATTCATCTGGGATCATCTCACCTCCTGGGTCTAGTCAATATGCTGACATCACACTGCATTTCTAATGCTTTTCCTTCCTTAGAAAACAGGCCTCTAAAAACGCTGCCGAGGCAAACCCTGAGTGGTTCTTTCTCTCTTTCTTTGCCTCTCTCTCTTTTTTTTTGGTCCACATCACACAATGTGAAATGCGATCTGGATTGTACAATTATTGCTTCAATGACACTGAGGTTATACAGGCTTATGAAACGTTTTCCAACTCATTTTTAAGTAAATTTAAAAAAACTTATAATGGGTTTTTATTTGAATTATCCTTAAAAATAACTTGTCATTGAAGTTACGATAATTTTTTAAATGCTAATTTATCATTTGGAACAAAAGGCCATTTTGAAGGCAACAAAACTGTAAGACACAGTTCTCTTCAAAAGAACGCCTCCTTTCACCGTGCCAGGAAGTCTGGCTTTGGAATGACATTTAATAAAATTCAACCATCCTGTGTAGTATCGTATATTTGGCATGCCTGGTAAGCCAGCTAATTCTGCAACATATCTTTTGCCAGTGGATGTTGGACCATTTCCCTAGGAAACCACAAGGGTATTATTGTGCTTTCTTAAGTATTCAAACAGGATCTGTTCACTAGAAAGACAAAATAGCCATTTCATCTCAACTAGTATTTGTTGAGCTTGTTGTATGCCTAATAGTGGGCTGATGCTGAGGAAAATCTGGGTGGAAAAGGCATAGTTTGTGTTTGAGGATGTGGAGGTTCTAAAAGATGCAAAGCGCTAACTTGTAAAAACTACGAAGAATGCAAAGTCATGTCATCAAATGACTGTAACGACATGATATTAAGTCTGTTCTCAACCTCACTCTGCAGCCTTGCAGCAAGGCAAAGGGAATAGAAAGAGAAAAAGATGCTAGCACTTTGGATACTAAAACATTTCCAATCACAGAGTATGACAAGTAAAAGGGGTGGAATAACAAAAAGGTAGGCCCTTTGTGCTTTAGGCAGGAATTTTTTTTTTTTTTTAAGATTTACTTTCACTGGTGTTTTGTGTTTCTTACAGGTATTTTAAACACAGAAAAAAACCATGAGCTCTTTCTATTTGTAATTCAAAAAGATAAATGTTAGTGTGCTCAAGTTATGAAAGTGTTTCCAGATCTCTCCTTTCAGATCATACCCACTGGTATTTATTGTCTGATCATAAGATTCTGTATTGAATATTCAGTATATTCAGTGTAGTATCTAACTATATGTATATTATCTAACGTTGTCGCCAAGTGTTTCACCTGCCTTGTCTCTCCAGCAGTAAGAAGGGATATATGTGAGTGTGTCTATATATACACAGGCATGCGTATATGTAGGCAATGTCTCTATGGGGATATAACACATATGTGTGTATATATATGTATAGACATTCATACACACACACTATCTCCTACGCTAGGAAAATAGATGTTCATGATTTTTAATATGATTTGAACACAAAATGAGTAGCCTGAGCTTAGGACCTTGATATAAAATGCCAAATGTATAAAATACTACCCAATTTATTGGTGAAAAATCAATGTGTCAATGATTTATTATTGGTTTAAATATAAACTAAAAAATAATTAATTTAAAATTATTATTATTCATTCAAACAAAAGCTAGAACATATCCCCTCCACTAGATTATAAACCCCTCGAGGCTAGCAACTCTAGTTTCTGTTTTTCCTCCATCTGCCTCACTGTCCCTCATGGTGCTAAGCCTTTAAAACAGCATGTGTTACCTATTCAGTATCTCTGTACCTGCCCTTTTCTGTATGCTCAGATGACACTTACCTCGTTGCTTGATCACCTAAAGAGCCAATAAAAATGGCAAAAGCATTTACTTGAGGGTCACTTGTGAGGATTTGAGCAAACTTAGCAGGATGTATTCCATATCGTGACAGATTTGCATCACTCAAGACTATGACAAAGTACTCATCAGCTTCTTCTTTGACAATTTCCTTGATGGCATGTTCTGTCCCTTCTAACGTGTGGTCCCCACTCATGCAGAACTGAGAGTGGGCATGCATTGTCTGGAGGTAAGAGAAGTTGCACAAAAGCCATGGTGAGAAACTTCTTTTTAAACAAAGATGATTATTTTTCTATTGACCATGAGCATGCATACATACCAATTATTACCCACGTTCTAAGTTAGTTCTATTTAATTTGCATATTTGAGTGACAACAGTATACAGTGATATTTGTATTCAGCATAGAATTTCATTAGATATAGGAATCATTCCAAAACTATCACAGTGGGCACTTAGTTTTAAAATGTAAGCTTCCACTTAAAGTGAGAAAACAAGAAAATATTAAATTTGGTATCACATTGGAGGATGCAGATGACACAGGAGGAAAATAAGGGATGAGCTGAGTTTCCAATAAACAAAGTTACAATACTAAAAACATTGTACTCATATCAATAACGATGGAGGAAATTTACTTATAATCGTGATATGTATTTTTCTACTGCAGGCTTAATTGTGTGAAATCAATTATACATAAAACTGGGGAGAGAGAGCACTCTAAAAGCGATCATTCTGCTCACCAATGATATGATTATATATCTAGAAAACCCTAAAATCTGATAAATGAATTCAGTAAAGTCTCAGGCTACAAAATCAATATACACAAATCAGTAACACTGCTATATGCCAACAATGACCAAGCTGAGAATCAAGTCAAGAACTCAATCTCTTTTACAATAGTTGCACACACACAAAACCCTAGGAATATACTTAACCAAGGAGGTAAAAGAGCTCTACAAGAAAAACTACAAAACACTGATGAAAGAAATCACAGATGACACAAACAAATGGAAACACATCCAATGTTCATAGATGAGGAGAATCAATATTGTGAAAATGACCATACTGCCCAAAGCAATCAACAGGTTCAATGTAATTCTCATCAAAAAAACCATCATTATTTTTCAAAGAACTAGAAAAAACAATCCTAAAATTCATGTGGAACCAAAAAAGAGCCCAGATAGCCAAAGCAATACTAAGCAAAAGCAGCAAATCTGGAAGCATCATATTACAGGGCTTTAAATTATACTAAGGCTACAGTTACCAAAACAGCATGGTACTGGTATAAAAATAGGCACGTAGACCAATGAGACAGAATAGAGAACCCGGAAATAAAGCCAAATACTTACAGCCAATTGATCTTTGACAAAGCATACAAAAACATAAATTGAGGAAAGGACACCCTATTCAATAAATGTTGCTGGGAAAGCTGGCAAGCCGCATGTAGAAGAATGAAACACTGCTGGTGGGAATGTAAATTAGTACAACCACCTCTCATACAAATCAACTTATACAAAATCAACCTAAGATGAATCAAAGACTTAAATCTTAGACCTGAAACAATAAAAATGTTAGAAGATAACATTGGGAAAACTCTTCTGGACATTGGCTTAGGCAAACAATTCACGACTAAGACCCCAAAAGCAAATGCAACAACAACAAAAATTAATAAATGGGACCTAATTAAACTAAAAACCTTCGCACAGCAAAAGAAATCATCAGCAGAGTAAACAGACAACCCACAGAGTGGGAGAAAATCTTCACAAACTATGTATCTGACAAAATACTAGTATCCAGAATCTATGAGGAACTCAAACTAATAAGCAAGAAAAAAACAAATAATCCCATCAAAAAATCGGCAGAAGATGTGAATAGTCATTTCTTAAAAGAAGGTATACAAACAGACAACAAACATGAAAAAATGTTCAATATCACTAATAATCAGGGAAATGCAAATTAAAACCATAATGAGATACGGTGGTATCTTATACCTGCAAGAATGGCCAAAATTAAAAGGTCAAAAATTAATAGATGTTGGCATGGATTGGTGAAAAGGGAACATTTACACTGCTGGTGGGAATGTAAATTAGTACAACCACTGTGCAAAACAGTATGGAGAGGCCTTAAAAGGACCAAAGCAGGTCTACCATTCAATCCAGCAATTCCATTAACAGGTATCTACCCAAAGGAAAAGAAGTCATTATATTAATATGAAAAAGACACAGGCACACACATATTTATAGCAGCACAATTAGCAATTGCAATGATATGGAACCAACCTAAATGTCTGTCAACCAATGAGGGATAAAGAAAATGTGGTATATATACACCATGGAATACTACTCAGCCATAAAACTGAATAAAATAATGGCATTTGCAGCAATTTGGATGGAGCTGGAGGCCATTATTCTAAGTGAAATAACTCAGGAATGGAAAACCAAATACTGTATGTTCTCACTTATAGGTGGGAGCTAAGCTATGAGGATGCAAAGACATAAGAGTGATATAATGGACTCTGGGGACCAAGGTTGGGGAGGTTCTCAGGGGGGTGAGGGATAAAAGACTACATACGGGGTACAGAGTACACTGCTCAGGTGACAGGTACACTATCTCAAAATTCACCACTAAAGAACTCATCCATATAACCAAAAACCACCTGTACCCCAAAAACTATTGAAATAAATAAACAAATTTAAAAAGGGGTCATTCTTTTCCTTCTACTGCACATGTAGGGGCTGAGAAGAGCCGTATAGGACATACAAGGGAGCCCAGGTTGTAGAATCCCAATCTAATACCAAGTGCCCTAAAAATATGTAGGAAACAAATTTTAAATTTTATATGGTGGAGAAAAGGATTTTAGGCATGATGGGTGTTTTCTCAGTTCAACGCTTGAATGTTTGTGAAACAGTTTTTTTCTTTGCTGTATATCTACTGCTTCTTCAATGAATCTTTTTAGCCTTTACCTAATTTGATAGAAGCTTTCATAATACAGAGGCAATAAAATACATTTACCTTCAGAATTTCTAGTCTTTGCTTATTGTCCTTGGGGATTTTGTGAATTGGAACCAGGCCAATGTTGTAGCCATCTCCAGAGTGTCCAACGATGTCATACTACACGCAAGAGAACCAGAAAGTTATAAACTTTTCTCCACAAAAGAACAGTCATTAGATCTTTAATGTTCAACTCTTTGAACTGTTATTGTCCAAAGTTGCTCAACATATGGCCATGAAGAAATGCAGTGAGACAGATGTGTGTTTAATTCCCTAGTCTCACTATGTACATGAGAAACTCCTGTCTACTGAGAAAGGCTAGAGCGGGGAGTCAGGTGCAAGCCTTTCACAGAGTCTGGAAAAAAAGCCTGGGGTCTGAGATAAACTATAATTGGGGTGAGGTAGTTCCCGCCAACTTTGAGTTGCACATACTCTAGGTGTTGTAGAGCAATGCAGTTATTTCTTTTCATGTATGCTCCTTTTAAAATGGTGAGTTATTTGAAGGTGAGGCCACAGCTTATTTCTCTTTGAATTTCTAGAATCTAAGAGGTGCCTAGCATGTTTATTGTACAAATGCTGTGAGAGAGTTTGCAATCAAGTTGGGGCAGTAAGAAGCTTTCCCCTTGCATGTGGGCTACATTCTTCTACAAATAAGCTGTTTGAAGCTGGAATGCATTTTCCCCCCTCAGCAATCATGGGATAAATGGTGGTTAGGCCATGCTAGCTGACAAACAACGATCCATAACATCACTGAAACTGCTGTGTTTTAAATGGAAAGAAACGGAAAAAATTTGGTTGAAATTGTTATTATGCAAAAATAGGAAGTGAGAAGAAGGGTTTCCTGGGGAAGATGAGTCCCATTATAGATATGCTGGACTTCTGCCCTAGGAGAGAGATGTGGCTAGGGGTGAACACCTAACAGTTACCCCCAGGAGGGAATAAATGAAGGCCCATGTATGTCTAAATATGTAAAAGCTATACATCAAGCTACCAACTGTTAAATAAAATACGTTCTGTCCTCCTACTTTGATAAAATATACGTTATAATAACCTGGAAAGCCAGGGCCAAATTTCAAATACTTGGGTTCCTGGAAGTTCTGTGCTAGAACACGGTCACATGAGCTGTACTGGCCCCTGGCCCATAGCCCATGCCCTTCTCTTTTCATGGCTGGCTCTGTCCCACGCCATAAGGTACCTCAAATGCATGCGTGTGGACACCCAGTGCTCACATCCACGCTCCATCACTCCATCATAACCAACAGTTACCCCTTGCCCACCTCTCAGACCTTGGGGTGCTCACACGATTGGCCAGTCTGTCCTAGGAAGATGGACTTAGGAAAGAGGCCCACGCAGGACCTGGAAGTCGGCTTGGGGTCATTTGATGAGGATAGTTGCGGATCCCGGGTACCAGAAGCATGATCTAGAAACAGGCTTTAAAGGCCCTTTGGCCCCATAGACACCTCGCCTCATGTGAGGGCCATGGTCAGAAGAGGCCCAGAGTGGGGCCATGGGTGGGGGTGAGATGGTGGGAGATTATTCTGTGCCTGGTTTAAATATAAAAGAATAGTGAAGGAAATTTATCAATGTATTAAAAAGGTTGACAATAAATGATTTCTAATGATGTAACACATTCCATATAAGAAAAAAAAATCATTCTTAGTATAGTTTGCTATCAATAGAGTGAAAAGTTTTTCAAATAAAAACTGAAACTAAAAGCAGCTCAGCTGTTAGAAATTGCTCCGGATAGGAAATTTCTGGCTTCACCATAGGCTTGACTAAGGTCATCCATGGGTTCAGTGGTAGGATTGGCACAGATGTGGAGAGAGCTTGCATAATCCTTCCGTGCAAGCACACTCCAGGGAGGCCCTGACTGATATGACAATGGTCATGGCAGGAACTGTTTGTAGTCAAGAGTGGAAAGTTCTGAGAAGGTGCCAGGCAGGTTGCTTTCATTACGGGCTGGTGAAGTAATCTGTTAAACAGGATCTTACACATGAGGGAATAAGATTGGTTCCCTGACATAGGAACTAGGTTTCTTATACTGGGCTGAAGTAAGAGGGCTATGAATGTGTTTGACTCTTCCCTCCCTTTTAACTGATGGCTAGAGTTCTTTCTAATTAGATGACAGTGAATGAGACTATAGAAATCTTTGATCATATGGTCTGTCACAGGGTCAATGTAACTGGTCAAAGAGCAGTCAACAAATACAGTTTTTAGCTGGGCTTTATTAAAACAACATGCAAGTTGATTAAAACCTTCAGAAATATTTTAGCAACCATCCGTCTATCATTTGATTGAGTGACTGATATATCTATCTACCATTTAAATATATGCCCAGGAGAAAAAAATGTACTATACTTTTCTAGGCAAATGAGACAAAGAAAGGTGGGTTGTATGCTTCTTTTTTTTCCTTATTCCCTTTCTTTCTTCTTTTTTTCCCTTCCTTTTTCTTTCTCATCTCTTCTTTATTTGTGGTAAGGAAAGTGCTACTTGCAGAAAGACCAGCCTTTGTCTGTGCCTGGTGAGCACCGCAAAGGCATGAGGAGACACCTAAGCGACAGGACGGAGCCTATAAAATAGTTTGCAGGCCCTGGTTTCTCATCTTCCAGATGGGCTTGAGGATTATTCTGTGCCCAAAGTCAATAAAATGCTTGGGAAGAATCTAAAGTACATCCAAATGTGGACCATTCCCTGGCGTTACTGCAGATTATATTAAACTTCCATTACCAGCAATACTTCTCCATCAAAATGATCTATTATGTGCTATCCAAGGATTCCAACATGGTTTACAAACAGTGATTTCCTAATCCTGAAAATTGTGTGGGTTAATGGAAAAGATGCATACTCTCATTCATTTCCATTCTGTAACTCCTAAATCTGCCATTCACCCGATCTGGTTTCGGTGATGATCGTGAAATCCAACTTGATGGGGCCTTCAGCCTGCTTCCATGGAGGAGCCACAGGAGTCAACAAACAAGATCCTCACTGTCATTACCAAACCGCCTAACATTTACATCAGAATTTTTTCTGAGCTCAAAATTGTTATGATCATGATTTCTCCACTTTTCAGAGCATCCCTGAAAACCCTGTGCAGTCTCATGTTTAGCATTCAACATAAATATTAAGCCACAGTAGCAAAGAAAAGCCTCAACTGCAGAGGACAAATTTAGATACTTTTTTGCTTTAGAAATCTGTTTAAATGCCCCTTTGCTATATTTTCTTTTGGAAGTGTTGTTCATTTAGAGAAAAGTATAACAAATAAAAACAAATGCTGAAATTTTGGTCAAAGATGTGGTTTATCATCAGAAAAGAATGATGATTTATAATGTTTAGAATGCTTAGGACAAAGTGCTACTAGCAATTTTATGAATAAGATTTATGTGTAAATTTCTATAGGACAGACAACCATTTGCTGGCTTTAGGAGAGGCTATGCTTTCTTATGCAGCCACATTGCAAGTAGGAACGAGACAATCATCTAAGGCTATTTATTAAAACTACTAGGCATAAAATTCTCATGTTCTTCTAGAAATATAAATACACCATTCTCAGATGGTGCCACTAAAGTCAGGAGAAATGCCAGCGGAACCCTAGTGTTAGTTAGCTAATAACCTATAGCATTAGCTGGCTAACCTTTCTTCATATCATGTAAGTCAACGTGAAAAGAATAATGTCTTGAAAGGTCAAGGATTCTAGACTTGGCTCTGACGTTAACAAGCTTTTTGACTTAGAGAAAATCACTTAACCTCTCTAAACCTTGTGTCTACCTTGTAAACAATGATGGCTTAGAAAGTCTCTAACACTGTATGCTTGTAAATCACTTAACCTCTCTGACAACACGGGGTAATACCTGTCTTACCACCTCCCAGGGTCACTGAAAGGATAGGACAATACACTTACTGACTTAATTGTTTGTTACAGTTTACAAAGGGCTTGCATATATCTCATCTCATTTTTATTTTCTCTACAAGCTTTGGGGTAAGTGTTATCCTTATGTCACAAATGCAGAAATTGATTCTTAGAGAGACTAACAGACTTTCCTAAGGTCATAGATCTAGTGTTGGTTAAACCCCAGGTTTTCTGACACTAAATCCATTTTGGTCGTTTGTGTTCATTTTTTGGTTTTCTTTGGAGACAGGGTCTTGCTCATTGTCCAGGCTGGAATGCACTGGTGCGATCACAGCTCACTGCAGCCTCAACCTCCCGGGCTCAATCAATCCTCTAATTTCAGCCTCCCAAGTAGCTGGGACCACAGGCATACGCTGCCACACCTGGTTAATTTTTGTATTTTTTTTTTTTTTTTGTAGAGACAGGGTCTTGCTACATTGCACACGCTGGTTTTGAACTCTTGGGCTCAAGCAATAAACCCACCTTGGCTTCCCAGAGTGCTGGGATTATAGGCATGAGCCACTGTTCCTGGCCCAGTGTTTTCACTACAGAGAAATAACTACTTCCCCAGCTACTCTCCCCTCCCATCTCTACTTAAGTTTTTGAATGGTTGGGTTGGCCAATTTCTACATGCACAATTGAATCAAGTCTGAATTCTTGTTTGAATGGACTCAGAAAGTATGTACAACCTCCTTGGGTCCAATCTCCATGTAGCAATAAGAATTTATTCACAGCCTAAACTGATAGGATGACTGGTCTCCATTTCTAAACCTGTGAAACACTCCTGAGGTACTGGAAAGAGGTTAATTACACACTGAATTAAGTTCTTGATAGAAGAAATTCCCTGGCAGCTGCTGACTTGTGAGTCGTATGTTTCCATTTCCTCCTGGGAGTTAACTCAACCTTTCTGACCAAGGTATCTTTGAGGAAAGTTTGTCTATTATACCTCCCTTGGATGGGTGCCAAGGGTAGGAGAAGACAGAGTACCTTACATAAATGATACACTTGCTCCTGAATTATAGTTTAAAAAAAACAAATTGAACAGAAATAAGATGGCTATAAGAAACAGGGATGAAACATCAACTAAGAGCCCTGAAGTGGAAGTCAGAAGTGCTGGCTTTGCACTGTAACTGTGTGACCTAGGGCAAAGCATTGAACCTCTTTGAATCTTTGTTTTCTCTTCTGTAAAACAAAAAGGTTGGTGAAAATAATTTCCAAGGCCATTCCTACCCTC